CAGGGAGCGCAGGCCATGGAGCTGAGCCAGGAGGGTGCCTGAAGCCGCCAGGAGGAGCGGGATGGGGTGGGAGGATATGGAGGCCCCCAACAGCAGCACAGCTGGACAGTCAGACTCGTGCTTCGGGGCGTTCAACGCCAGTGCTGGTCACAGCAACGTGCGGAACAGCATCACCTCGCCCTGGTTCTCCACCGCCTTCGGCCTCATCGGCCTCTGCTCCAACCTCTTTGCTCTCTGTGTCCTGCACAGCTCCTCCCGCAAGCTGTCCAGCCGGGCCCGCTCCTCCTTCCTCGTCTTCCTCTGCGGGCTGGTGGTCACAGACTTCATGGGGCTGCTGGTGACGGCCTCGATCATCATCCCCTATCACTTCATCAAGTTTGCCTGGGCCAAGGTGGACCCTGGCTGCCACCTCTGCAACTTCCTCGGCTTCTCCATGGTCTTCTTTGGGCAGTGCCCGCTGCTGCTGGGGGCCACCATGGCTGGCGAGAGGTTCTTCGGCATCAACCACCCCTTCTCCCGCTCCACCAGCATCTCCAAGCGCCGCGCCTGGTCCATCGTGGGGCTGGTGTGGGGCTTCTCCTGCCTGCTGGGGCTGCTGCCGGTGCTGGGGCTGGGGCGGTACACGCTGCAGTACCCCGGCTCTTGGTGCTTCCTCACCCTCCTGCCCGACACTGGCAACGTCATCTTCTGCCTGCTCTTCGCCCTTCTGGGCATCTTCTCCGTGCTGCTCTCCTTCATCTTCAACACCGTCAGCGTGGTGACACTCTGCCGTGTCTACCACGACCGGGAGGCGGTGCAGCGGCGCCGGGACAGCGGGGGGGAGAGGCAGCTCGTGGGCATCATGATCATTGCCACCATCTGCTGGATGCCCCTCCTGGTGAGGACCTGGGTCTCGGTGTGTTTTCCCCCATGCTCCTGCTGAGGTCCCGGGTCTTTGTGTCCCCCCTCTGCCACCATGTCCCTCCTGGGTTGTGTTTCCACCATGTCCCCGCTGGTGAGGACCCAGCCCTCGGTGTGCCGTGTCCCCCCGTGTCCCCGCTGGTGAGGTCCCAGGGATGGGGATGTCCCTCCTGGTGAGACCCTGGGTCTTGGTGTGTCCCCCCCTGCTCTGCGCCCTGGGTTGGCACCTGGGTGATGGCTCTGGGCTCAGCACCGCTCACAGGCACAGCGGGTGCTCCCTGGTAGCAGGTGCCCCAAACCAGACTGGGACCCCTCTCAAACCGGTTCGATGCCCAGCCTGGGCCCTCATCATCTCCCCACACACACCCTGGGGCAGCTCAGGGCCTCTGCATGGACCCCACCCCCCCCTGCTGACACCTTGTCCCCTTCGCCCCGGCAGATCTTCATCGTCCAGCCTGTCCTGCAGCAGCTGCCGGCCAGCGGCCAGGTCCAGGTGCTGCCCATGGAGACCCAGAAGATGCTGCTCATCTACATCCGCATGGTCACCTGGAACCAGATCCTGGACCCCTGGGTCTACATCCTCTTCCGACGGGCCGTGCTGCAGCGCATCCCCCCCAGCCTGCGCTCCCGCCCCTCCATCCTCTCTCTCTACCCCGTCCTCAACCCCTCCCTGCGCCGCAAGCTCACCGCTGACTCTGTCCTGCAGTAGTGGCCCCCCGGGACAGGCACCGAGGGGGGGGACACCAGGCATCCTCCCCATCCCACCCCCCCAGGTTCATTAATTGTCCCCATCACCTGCATCTGTGGGCTCTCCCACCCTCCCCCAGCCCAGTACCCGAGGGGGTGGCAGGGGGCACAAGGCAGCTCCCCCCTCCCCGTCCCCCTCTGAGTGACAT